AGCTGTTCATGTCGTGTTTCATGTTGCGGTAGCTTAGGACTTGGACTTGTTGCCAGTCGAACGCTTTGCCCCAAGCCACCAGAATTATTCTTGAGGTCTAGCACTAGCGCAACAGAAAGACCACTCAGGCATAGTCTCCATAGACCTGGTCATCCAGCTTAATTACTGTAACTGTTTGTGAGCTGTCTATGTCGATGCTACTGCCCATTTTCTTTGATCAGCCCATTTGCAGCTACTCATCTCCCGCTTATGTTGCGATAGCTTAGGACGTGGTCTCAGTCGAAGGCTTTGCCCGATCCACCGGATCGCGATTATCTTGAGGTCCAGCTCAGAAGCCGCTAGCGGCCGCTAGCGCTCTAACTTCCCTCTTAGTCCAGCTGCCAGCTGATGTTTTCACCTGCTCAATATTGCGTGCCTGGTGTGTTCCTATTCTAGGGAGCTTAGGACTGTGGATTCCGAGTGGACGGCTTTGCCGCACTGAGTCTAGTGCTAGCCCATGGATCCACTGGCTGATCAGATTACTTCTTGGATCGTCTTGCTATTGGATCTATTGGACGCAGTTAGTTCACCTTCTGCCCTTCATGCTGAGAAAGCTTAGGATTGAGCATTGTTGCCAGCTCGATGCTTTTTTGCAAAGACAGTTTTTGGTGCTAGCGTGCTGGGAGACTGAGGCTTTGTTTCCAGAAGCTCTCGATACTCTGGCTGTTGAGCCTACTTCCTCTTGCATGGAGCTGACCTTCTGCCCAGTTCTTGGTTGTTTCCCTTGGCAGTGACGTTCGCGCAAACTTAGGACTTGGACACGTTGCCAGTCGGAGGCTTTGCCCCAAACCACAGAAGGTCTAGCGCTAGCGCAACAGAAAGACCACTTAGGCTTGGTCTCCAAAGACTACTGCATGCACAGACTTGGCTGGGAGTGATCCATCTCACCTGTTCGCTTTGTCCAGCACAGTTGTGCTATTAATGTTATGCTTCGCAACATGGCTTGGGACTTGGGCCAATTGTTGAAGATCAATTAATTTCTAGAGTCTAGCGCAACCGAGTCGGCCTAGGCATAGCTTCCGAATCTAGCGCTGCTCGGTTTGGGATGTCGGCCTCATAAAGGGCTTTGTTTCAATGGTGATTGCTACCGCATTACTGGTTGGAAGGCCAAGTGATGGAGATAAAGTCTCTCATGCTGTGGCCAGCACTTGAACTGTTGGAACGCGGGATTGTTTGCAAATGGCCTAGCAACACATAGGCAAACTACAATCGTTTGGGAATCATATCGTCGAGACCACAGTGAGGAGTCAAGACCTCAGAGGTAGCAGGGTTTTGGGCTGAGCTTCGGAGTGTAGCCAGATGCAGCCACCTCAGAATCCTCAGAGCGACTAGCTGGTGCTAGTTCAGATTTCAGACCTCTTACATCTCTAGCACGACTCCAGGTGAGCAACTTTGTGAGTTCTGATAGTTCTGTCCTTTCCAGTCCTCTTTTCGTGAAGAGACTTTGAGCACAAAGGCAGCTTGTCTGGTTGGCCTTAAACTCGTGAATGATCTTAGTTGCTCAAGATCGCTGATAATTTCTCCAGGATTTGAGTTGTGTTTGATCCACGGCGTTGTTGGGAGCAAGTGACCCCTTCTTAGTTTTGCCCCTCACCTCACCACTGACCACCCAGCGAGAGGTTCGTCGGGCACTCGGACCATTGGAAATTCCAGACTGCCAGGTGCAGCTTTTTGTTGTGCTCTGCATGCGATCCAAGCGCCGAAGGCCTTCTGTGACGTGAAAAGAACGCCTTGCTAGATGGCTAAGGATCCCACAAACAAAGGTTGGAGCCTGAAAGTACATCCGCTTCAGTGGATTTACGAAGTTCAACTCGATTCTTGTTAATTGATATATTTCAATTTGTAGATCAAACAGATTGTCAGCATTTGACAACTTCTTGAACCCATTACTGTCAAAGTCGGCCTATAGAACACAAGTGCCCCAAGCATGGGGGTTTGCATGTTTGTTCCGTGGTCATTGAGAACACAAGGTCCAGCAGTGGACGGCAGCCTTTTGCGCGGTCGCCGGAAGATTGGACAGTGTTAGTTGCACAGTGCTGCACTTCCTCATTTGGAAAGGGTAAGAAGAGAGCAGTGAACCAGTGAACCCCCGCAAAGAACCCTGACATGGTAGGCCATGTGTGAGACCGTAGGCCATGTGTTCATAGCAGAGCCTATGGCCTGGTCGGGTGCCGAGCGAGGCAGAGCCGGGTATCGCCAGATGGAGAATCGGACTCTGAAGATTCTTGGCATCAAGAAGTTTCCAATGAAGGAATGAAGCTAGCCGTTCAACAGTTTCTTTTGTATTCTTTTGTGTCCTTACTGCCATGTTCTGCGAATGTGGGGAAATGTGCAGGTGTGAAGCTGATTGTTCGTCCAGATGTGTGCGAAATGATGCAAAAACAGAGCTGGAAAGAATATGGTTGATGGATGTTGATGCTTAATTTACCTTGAATGTTCACCTATAAATGATTCTTTGTGGTTTGTGAAGCTGCAAGGCATTCTGATGCCTGCGACCATGCATCTCTGAGGACTCTGAGGACCTGCAGGCCGTCGTGCCAAAGCCGTCTTTGTTCGGCTCTCGCCGGGGCACGCAGGCGGACGAAAGAACGGTTTGCTGGGTGCGGACAGCAGATGTTGCCGAGCTTTTCAGCTCGATCTGGATCGATTCAGTTGTCGAGTCATCACCTGTGAAATGTGTCTACAAATTTGGTCAACCCATGTGTTGGAAACGACAATTTTGTAGAGAAACAGTGGTTTTCTACAGAATCACTGTTCTGGGTGTTCCTGATTTGTAGAGTGATCAGGGTAGATTTTGAATGATTTTGAGCATGTTAGCAACAACATGATTTGCAAGGCAGGGTCCATTTTGCATACTGTATTTTTCCGTTGACTCGAGCATGTGCACTCACCCACCATAATTTTGTAGAGGGTTAAACCCATTTTGTAGAGATGGTCCGTTGTTTAAGCATCTTCCTGCTGACACAAGGGTGTGCATCCACCCAACATAATTTTGTAGAGGGTTAGAACCCATTTTGTAGAGATCAGGGATGGGTGTTTGAGCATCTTCCTGGTGACACAGGGATGTGCACCCGCCCACCATAATTTCGCAGAGAGACAGACACCATTTTGTAGAGAAAGCAATACACCAATCACTAAGAAATTATTTGGAGGTGGGAGTCACTTAGTGAAAAATGTTTTCCAAATAATTAACTAAAAGAATTATTTGGCAAGCCATGCAGGTGGTGGTACCGTCTAGGTGGTGCAAAATAATTTTCATATGATAGATATTACTTCTAAACAATTTTGAGTCTATGACCACCCACCTGTACAAAATTATTTAGACAGAATCTTGAGTATATGAGGACCCACCTCAAATTATTTCCAAATAATTTTGAGTTTCCACTACAAAACAATGGCTGCGCGATGCAAGTCGTCCCCGTCATTAGTTCGCAGTGGAAACTTTTTTTTTTCCCGAATGCGTAGCGAAGGGTTCCCGTTTATAGTTGGGGGTCTGGGGGTTGGAGCTGTGTTCGCGTGGCTTGCGTCCTCTCGTCGTCTGTCGTCGTCTCTCGTCGTCTCTCGTCGTCTCTCGTCGTCGTCGCGTCTCAAATTTGCTGCCATTGGGGGAAGCTTTTGCAAGTGACTTTTCATGGATGTGTCACGTGTCAGTTTGCGCCGCTATTCCATTGTGATTTGCATGACACCGACATGTCGCGCAAGAAACGTGACGCATTTCGCTGCACAGGCGCAGCGTTTTGTGAGATCCGCAGATTGCTGCGCAGTTCCATTGGGATTAGCGTTTGGAGAGTCGTGTTTTTGGGGTGTTGGATGTGGCCGTGCCATTGGGATTTGCGTTTCAGGGTGTGGCATCGAAGCTCGGTTTTCGTGACAAGTCTCAGCTGAAGTGGCGATTTTGGTGGATTGGAGTGTGCTCTGAACGGGTCGGAATCATTCCAAACGTGTGGTGTGGTGCAAATTTTGTTGAAGCTCACATGCGATGATATTGTCACTTTTCGTGGCAGGCGCAGGACTTCGTGCGGGCTTTGAAGCGTGGAAGTGCGATTCTCGTGGCAGGCGCAGGGAATCGTGAGGTTGCAAGGTGTGAGGGAGGTGACATTTCGTGGCAGGCGCAGTACTTTGTGCGCGTTAGACGTGCGGATGGGGAAAGGTTCGTGGCAAGCGCAGGGAATCAGAGTGTCCCACAAGAGTTTCCTACAAGAGTGACCCACAAGAGTGTCCCACAAGAGTGTCCCACAAGAGTGTCCCATAAGAGTGTCCCACAAGAGTGTCCCACAAGAGTGTCCCACAAGAGTTGCCCACAAGAGTGTCACACAAGAGTGCCCCACAAGAGTGTCCCACAAGAGTGTCCTACAAGAGTGTCCTACAAGAGTGCCCCGCAAGAGTGTCCTATAAGAGTGTCCCACAAGAGTGTCCCACAAGAGTGTCCTACAAGAGTGTCCCACAAGAGTGTCCCACAAGAGTGTCCTATAAGAGTGTCCTACAAGAGTGTCCTACAAGAGTTTTTCAGAAGAGTGTCCCACAACAGTGTCACACAAGAGTGCCCCACAAGAGTGACCCACAAGAGTGTCCTACAAGAGTGTCCCAGAAGAGTGTCCCACAAGAGTGTCCCACAAGAGTGTCCTACAAGAGTGTCCTACAAGAGTGCCCCGCAAGAGTGTCCTATAAGAGTGTCCCACAAGAGTGTCCCACAAGAGTGTCCTACAAGAGTGTCCCACAAGAGTGACCCACAAGAGTGACCCACAAGAGTGTCCTACAAGAGTGTCCTATAAGAGTGTCCCACAAGAGTGTCCCACAAGAGTGTCCCACAAGAGTGTCCCACAAGAGTGTCCTACAAGAGTGTCCCACAAGAGTGTCCCACAGAGTGTCCCACAAGAGTCTCCTACAAGAGTGTCCCACAAGAGTGACCCACAAGAGTGACCCACAAGAGTGTCCTACAAGAGTGTCCTACAAGAGTGTCCCACAAGAGTGTCCCACAAGAGTGTCCTTTTAGAGTTTCCCACAAGAGTGTCCCACAAGAGTGTCCCACAAGAATTTCCTACAAGAGTGCCCTACAAGAGTGACCCACAAGAGTGTCCTACAAGAGTGTCGTATAAGAGTGTCCCACAAGAGTGTCCTGCAAGTGACCCACAAGAGTGTTCTACAAGAGTGTCTCACAAGAGTGTCCCACAAGAGTGTCCTACAAGAGTGTCCCACAAGAGTTTCCTACAAGAGTGACCCACAAGAGTGTCCTACAAGAGTCTCCTACAAGAGTGTCCCAGAAGAGTGTCCCACAAGAGTGTCCTACAAGAGTGTCCCACAAGAGTGTCCTACAAGAGTGTCCCACAACAGTGTCCCACTAGAGTGTCTCACAAGAGTGTTCGTTAAGAGTGTCCTACAGGAGTATCCCACAAGTGTCTTACAAGAGTGTCCCACAAGAGTTTCCCACAAGAGTTTCTGAATATGGCCACAGGGTTTAACTTTGTTGGTTTTGTCAAAACCAGGAGTTAAATGTCAAAACAGTTTGGCGCCCAAGCCTTGACTCCAAACCAGTTTGCTGATGGAGTTTCAGAGTCCAAAGCGGATTGACACCAAAGTTGTGACTTCCAAGATGGTTTGACTTCCAAAAACAGTTTGGCGCTGGAGTTGACACATGTCTAAACCCGTATTCTTGATAAACCAATACTTTACTTCGAGTGATCCCCACCATGACATTTCAATCATTTGTTTTGATGTCATTTGTTATGTTTGTGGTTGTGTGTTGGTTGTTACGTTTGTGGTTGTGTGTTTGTGGTTGTGTGTTTGTGGTTGCGTGTTTGTGGTTGTGTGTTTGTGGTTGTGTGTTTGTGTGTTTGTGGTTGTGTGTTTGTGGTTGCGTGTTTGTG